GAACCAGAACCAGGATCAGGACAAGGATCAGAAACAGGATCAGGACCAGAACCAGGATCAGAACCAGAACCAGGATCAGGACAAGGATCAGAAACAGGATCAGGACCAGAACCAGGATCAGAACCAGAACCAGGATCAGGACAAGGATCAGAAACAGGATCAGGACCAGAACCAGGATCAGAACCAGAACCAGGATCAGGACAAGGATCAGAAACAGGATCAGGACCAGAACCAGGATCAGAACCAGAACCAGGATCAGAACCAGGATCAGAACCAGGACGAGGATCAGAAACAGGATCAGAAACAGGATCAGAAACAGGATCAGAACCAGGATCAGAAACAGGATCAGAACCAGAACCAGGACAAGGATCAGAAACAGGATCAGAACCAGGACCACCACCAGGACAAGGATCAGAAACAGGATCAGAACCAGCATCAGAACCAGCATCAGAAACAGGATCAGAACCAGAACCAGGACAAGGATCAGAAACAGGATCAGAACCAGGATCAGGATCAGAACCAGGATGAGGATCAGAACCAGGACGAGGATCAGAAACAGGATCAGGACCAGGATCAGAACCAGGACGAGGATCAGAAACAGGATCAGAACCAGCATCAGAACCAGGACGAGGATCAGAAACAGGACCAGAACCAGGATCAGAACCAGGACGAGGATCAGAAACAGGATCAGAACCAGCATCTGAAACAGGACCAGGATCAGAACCAGGACGAAGATCAGAAACAGGACCAGGACAAGGATCAGAAACAGGATCAGAACCAGGATAGGATCAGAAACAGGATCAGAACCAGGACAAGGATCAGAAACAGGATCAGAACCAGGACCAGCATCAGAACCAGGATCAGAACCAGGGCCATGATCAGAACCAGGATCAGAACCAGGACCAGCATCAGTACCTGCAGAGGAAGCCCAGCTGGAGAACATGCAGCAGGCAGAACACCCTCCCTCGGTCCGCGCAGAGGATCCTTCCTTCCCCCGCAGCCTGCTGGATGAAGCCCGGCAGCTCCCGGTCGTACCGGAACCAGAACCAGCTGAACATCTGGACCACCATAGAGGAGAGGAGCATGAGGCTGAGCAGCACCCCGAACCACAGCAGCTCCCCCCGGCAGTAGAACTCTCTGGCCAGCCACAGGTCGGAGCACCAGTCCAGCAGGAAGGTGCAGACCCCCACCACCGAGAAGGAGAAGTCGAGCCAGGAGTACCCGGAGAAGGAACCGCTCTCCATGAGGAGAGGAGCGTTGCTGCTGCTCAGCGGCTAGCAGCCCTGCTAACATCGGACCGTTAGAGGAGGAACCGCCGCGTCCTTCCGGGGGAACCAAGAACTTCCCCCCGGCTCAACATTTCAGCGAGGAGGGAGGAAAAACTGGAGGGAGGAACCAGGAGGAGCGGAGAGGAGGAGGAGGAGAGGAGGAGAAGCGGTCCAACAGCTCCAGGATTTCAGCACTTATCATGGAAAGATCCGGGCGGCAAGAAGCTCCGCCCACCGCGCCCTGTAGCCGGGGCAACCAGGCGGCGAATTCTTCTTCTTCTTTATAGAATTTTTTGGCGGTTGGCACGCAACGAAATGGCGCTTTACCGCCACCAACTGGTATGGAGTGTGGATCAGAATGGCTACTAATTTATACTAAACAAATAGGTCACAATCAAATTAACAAAACAATATCAACAAAACCAAAATAAGATTCAGATCCTCTCAATTACATTTATTAATCTAAGATAATGAAAAACAATTAGATAACACTTATCTCTTGAGTTTTTATTTAGTATTTCTATTAAATCAAATTATATTCTTTCCATTTTTAGATTTTGAACCATTTCTTTCCTTTCTCTTTCATACTTCCTGCAGTATACCATAACGTGTTCAACTGTATCTTGTTGCTCACAGTATTCACATCTGCCATTGCTTTACCTATTTTGAATAATGTACTATTTAATCCTGTGCGCCCATAGGCGGAGAATTGAAACCGCTCTGCTGCTTAATCGAACTCACCTATTGGCTGTGTTCGAATTCAGAGGCTGCGGTCTACCATGGCTCTGTTCGAAAACCTAGGACGGGTCCTCCAAGGACGCGGTCTACCTAGACTGGATCCTTCGAAGTCCTTGAAAATAAGGAGACCGGATGAGTTTTGGCTGTAATTTCGGCCTGGTCTACCCTTTGGCGGGTTTTCGAACAGAGCCATGGTAGACCGCAGCCTCTGAATT